AGGCTTCCCAGGACACTGGGGTGTCAGTTTTGTCTTTATTTGCTTGTTTGCTAATCCTCACCGAGAATATTTTTTCCACTAATTTCCAGACAGACTGAAAGGGAGGGTGGAAGAGAGGGAAAGAGAGAAACATCGATGTGAGAGACACATTGATTGATTGCCTCCCCCAAGTACCCCGGCCAGGGCCAGGGATGGAACCTGCAACCCAGGTATGTGCTCTCGATTGGGAATGAAACCTCGACCCTTCAGTGCACTGGCCGGCGGTCTAATCGTTGAGCCACACCGCCCAGGGCTGGAATTACAGTTTTAAAACCAGGATGAGTTGGTTACCCTGTTGAGGGACCTCAAGGAGGCCAGTGTGGCCGGAGCAGGGTCAACAGCGGGGGGAGGAGAGGAAGTCAGGCAGGTGACAGGGCATCAGGGCCCGGAAGGGCCTGTGAGGACTCGGGCTTTTGTTGTGAGTGAGACGGGAGCCCCTGGAGGCTCCGGCAGAGAAGGGCTGTGATCTGGCTCGGCTGCTGAAAGGCTGCGATCACAGGAGTGACTGTGGAACACGGGGAAGCGAAGGGCGTCCAGGGGACGTCCTGACCCTCTGACCCTTAGTGGCTGAGAGGCCACGGAAAGCCTCCGTCCCACCTCGTTAAGAGTCTACAGCCACAGAGAGACAACGCGCCTTCAGCGCGGCCTGCTCCCTGCAGGGGGGGTTGGGCGAATGAGACCCACCTTCCAACTTGGGAAAAAAGAGCTGAATGGAGCAGCATTCTTCAAAATCTTACAAACATCAACCAGCCAGAAGGCAGAAGGGGAGGACCCGGGAGGTTTCGCTGACGGTTTTGTCCTCATGGGATCTTTCCGTCCTGCAGGAAGAGTGGGAAGACCGAGCTTCTCGTTGACTGGCCGTGTGTGTCTAGGTCAGTGGTTCTCAACCTTCCTAATGCCCCGACCCTTTAATACAGTTCCTCATGTTGTGGTGACCCCCAATTTCATTGTTACAAATTGAACATAATTAAAGCATAGTGATTCATCACAAAAACAATATGTAATTATATATGTGTTTTCCATGGTCTTAGGCGACCCCTGTGAAAGGGTCGTTCAACCCCCAAAGGGGTCGCGACCCACAGGTTGAGAACCGCTGGCCTAGGAGAACGAGCTGAAAGTCCCGGGAGCCTCACGCTTGAATTGGATCAAGGTCTTCATGGACGGGTGGTGTCTGCAGGCATATGGCACAAGCACATGCAAACCCTCTAGTATCCTGGGCCTCAAATGGTTCTTGCACATAATTTTTAAAATACAATGTCCAGCACACAGTCAAAGATAACTAGGCACACAGGTACATACCAGCCCATGACGGAAACCGACAGAACACACCCAAGCAAAGGAGATCCTGGCATGATCAGCCAGACTCAGCTACCACCTCACCTCATCTCCACAATGACCCTGAGCGGTAGACTCTGCTATTATCTCCTTCAGAGACAATGAGATGGAAGCTTGGCAAGCTAGTGATTTGTCTCAGGCCCACAGCTAGTGAGTAGGAGAGCTGTGATTCAGCTCGGGCCGGGTGCCGCTTGATCTATGCCAGGCATGCCCCGCACGCCCTCCGCCCCGCGCCTTCCACCCCACGCGCCCTCCGCCTCGGAAGTCCTAGAGGCCTGATGTCAGAGCCTGCGGCTGCCCTTGCACCTCGGCGAGAGCCACAGCCTTTAGTAATGGGAGCGGACAGAGAGGAAAGCCTGGGGACCATGTCAGGGGACACCTGCCCAGCCACCACCCTCTTATGTCGGGGCAGGCCCACGGGAGTGATGACCAGACAGAGCACACGAAGGGCCAGAATGTAGGCTGATGGGAAATAGAGGCTTCTGGGTGACGACCTGGGAATATCGATTACAATGCAAGATGCTCGCACCCTCCCACCCACAGCTCCCCTTCCGGGACCTGGTTCTCTGGGTGCTGCTTCACTAGGGCACAGAGGGAGGGAGGGCGGGGTGAGGGTGCTCCCTGCAGCCCCTTCACAGGAGTGACACCCGGAACCAGCTGTCCGCTCCCAGAGGGCTGTGGGAAAGTGAGGCATATCCACATCTCAGAAAGCCATTCAGAAACGAGGTAGGCTTTTCTGTGCTGGCATTTTTTAAATGTCTAAAATAGAGTATTAATTGAAAAAAACAATTGCAAAACTGCACTTTCTATTAGTTCAAAAAGTTTACACACACACACACATATGTAGCATGTGTGTGTTATATTCATGGGGGGAAATCTGAACTACAACTGGAAGTAACAGAAAATCAGAGGACGCGTGGCTTCATTCTCTAGGTACTGTTTGAGCGTTTCACAATGAAAAGGCATCACTCCGAGAAGCAGAACCGAGAGCGTGTGTGTGTGTGTGTGTGTGTGTGTGTGTGTGTGTGTGTTTCATTTGTCTAGATCAGCGGCCACTGGTGGTCCGTGAGGTCTGAAAGGCTGGTGACCGCTGGTCCACATGCTCATAAGGGCGCCCACGCCCACCCTGCGCCTGTGCTCCTGCGATGGCTCCTGACCCTTCAGCTCTGTGCTTACCAGACTCTCCTCCCCAAACTTCCCGCGTCCACTCGCCAAACTGCTATTGAAAAGGGGCTTCCTAAATGGCCAGCCAGACCACGCCGCCTTCCCTGCGAAAAACCTTCAGTTCTCGTTGCTGCTGGTGTGGAGTCTGAATGGAGTAAGATGCTCCCCAACCTCTCCACCACCCATCTCTGCCCCCCTTCCCACAGCCCCCCAATCCTTCCTCGAATGTCAGCCCGTGGACAGCCCCGTCCCACTGCACAAACCCCCTGCCTGTCATTCTCTCTCCCTGAAGTTCCTTTGACTCTACCCACCCCCTCATCCCCTCCGCCCCCCACTAGCTGACTTCAGTTTGCCATATAGGTGATGTCACTGCTGCAGTAAACCCCTGTGATGGGTGTTCTAAGAGGGTTATCATTCAGGGATGAAGTCATCACCCCACAATCACTGTGTTTTAACACGAACCACCTCTCAATTCCTGTTTACAAGCCCTTATCTCTCATTAGTCACTAAGCTTCTCAAATGGGCATTTATCTTGTTCACCAGCATCTCCCAGCCCCTATACCAGTGATGGAGAACCTTTGAGCTCGGTGTCAGCATTTTGAAAAACCCTAACTTAACTCTGGCGCCGTGTCACATATAGAAATTTTTTGATATTTGCAACCATAGTAAAACAAAGATTTATATTTTTGATATTTATTTTATATATTGAAATGCCATTTCACAAAGAAAAATCAACCAAAAAAATGAGTTCGCGTGTCACCTCTGACATGCCTGTCATAGGTTCGCCATCACTGCCCTATACAATGCCTGACAGTAAGTGCTCAATGTGTCGGCCCCACACTGGAGTCTAGAGTTCGATTCCTGGTCAAGGGCATGTACCTGGGTTGCAGGTTTGAACCCCAGCCAGGGCCCGTGCGGGAGGCAACCAACATATGTGTCTCTCTCACATCGATGTTTCTCTCTCTCTCTTTCCCTCCCTCCCTCCGTCCCTCCCTCCCTTCCTCTCTCTCTAAAAAATCGATAAAAAAAATATCCTCGGGTGAAGATTAACAACAAAAAAGTGCTCAATAAATATTTGTTAAGTGATTAGCTATGACACATTCACATTTGTCAAATAAATAAATGGCTCACAGGCACAACCCAGCTGAAGCAGAGTCGGTGGCCGTTTCTGCCACCCACGTGGCAGGTATGGTGTGGGGGGCACTCCAAGAGCCCTGCAGCCAGCTCACCACGCCCGGGAACAACCTCCCCTCAGTGAGCGAGCTGTGCTGGGCTTTCAGTTACCCGGATGTCAGTCCCTGGGGCTCAGAGACGAATGTCACAGACCCGCGAGGGTCCACGGCACATTCACTCTCTGGTTGCTCCCAGGGGAGCCCAGGGCACAGGTAAGTTGCTTGTGGGGTGAGCCAGGGAAGGAAGTCGGCAGCGCACACCCCTTCCTGGAAGGGGGTACCCCTGCCAGGAGGGCCTGCCACAGGTGGGGTGTAGATACTGACGAGAATGGGGGTGCTTATTTGAGCACGAAGAGGTCAGTGGCCAACGGGGCCAGGTCATTGCTCTGCGGTCAGGGATGGGGTGTCTGGGGCCAGGGCTCCGATTCTGGGGCGCTAGAAGGCTCTTCGATCCCAGAAACACTAGTCCTGACTCCACACTCCCAAATGCGTCATGGCGTCCGGCACAGAGAACACTGAGGGGTGGGGGGGGGGGGGGGGGTGGTGGCCCTTTTTGTTGTTGTGAATCCTCACCTGAGGTTATTTTTTCCATTGGTTTTTAGAGGGTATAAGGGAGTAGAAAGGGGGGAAGAGAAACATCGATATGACAGAGACACAGTGATCAGTTGCCTTCCGCACGCACCCCGATTTTGGGGGCGAGGATCAACCCTGCAACCCAGGTACGTGCCCTTGACCGGGCATCAAACCCATGACCCCTTGGTGTGTGGGCTGGTGCTCTAACCATCTGGCAACACCAGCCAGTGCTCACGGCGCTTTTACAAATAGCTAAAGGCCAAGTTGGGAACCTACTCAAAACCTAGCGATGGGACAGGACTGTGATGCACAGAACGTGGCCATGTGACGGGTCCTGGGCACCTCCCCACCATGCCCTTCGCCTGCCAGCAGAGCAGCTCCTCAGCAGAGATTTGCTTTCTCCTTCCCGGGGGGTAGGCGGGGAGCCTCCCTGCTCTGCCCGCTCAGAAGACCACGTCATCTGCGCCATCCTCGCAATGGGGTCAGGGCTGAGGGCTGACCCTCAGCGGGCTGGGCCACCCTGTCTTCCCCACTTTCACGAACCCCCAGGTCAGTGAGGACAAACCCGGCTCAGCCTGTAGGGGGGCTTCTTAAAGCGTCCAGACCGAGTCAGCAGGCATGGGACCCAGTGGCCCTCCAAGCCCCCCCCCAGCTTCTCTCCTGGCTCAGTGCCGTCGACCCCCCTTTCTGGACAAGAGAGGAAGAAAACATACTCACTGCTTCCCAGACGGAGGCTGAGCCAGCCGCGAGGCGGAGACCCGTACTTGGTGAGGACCGAGTTCATGCTTCAACTCTGGTGGAACCTCGCCCGGCCCTCCAGCCACGTGCCAGCCCTCAGGTCTGTGTCCCTTTCTGCAGCGAAGGGCTTCTCCCAGCCTCACCCCAATCCTAGCTCCTCTGGCGGAATCGGTCTGCACAGGCCCCGGAGCCCTCAGCCCCGCCAATCTGCTTCCCTGCAAGGCAGGCCCCCTGGGCGCTGTATGTTCTAATGTATGGGCTTCCTGGCCGCGGTTTGCCCTGCGTTCCCCTGCTGGTGGTTTTCTCCCCTTGGATTTTCCATTCCCAAGTACCCATTCGCGCCCTGGAACAGACTCCTCAGGCTGCTGGCCGCCTCGGCGTCCCTCCCTTCCCGGAAAAGCAGCGCCGGGACCCTGGTGTCTGCAGTCCCGGCAGCAGCCCCGCTAGACGCCTTGGCGAGGAGGCAGGCCTGCAAGTTCGGTGGCTTCTCCCTGCCCGGCAGACGTTCACCCGGGAGATCAAGTCAGTTCCAAAGTGTTAGAAAAACCCAAGCCACAGTCTGCTGAGCACCGCGGAGGCATCAGTCACCATGGCAACCCTGGGCTTCCCAGCCCAACAGTGTCCGCCGCTCAGCTGTTTGCTTACTCAGCGCTGCCGGCACTTCCAGGGGACCTGCTGCCCCGACTGGACTCCAAGTGCAGCTCCGTTCAGGCTGCGCCCGCCCAGCCCTCTCTGCCCAACTCTTCTCCTGGCAAAACCTTGGAACTCTTTAGCTTAGCAAAGCCGTTCGTTCCGCGGAGGCCTGAACATCACATGCTCCTTCCTTCACGGCACAGATGGCCCCATGTTTATTTCAGCCACTGTTCAGGCTCAGCCTGTCAGCCAGCTTGTGGGGGGGCCCGGCCCTGGGAGGGGAGTGGGGAGCGGGGAGCGGAGCTGCTCGCACCGTCCAGAGGCAGTTACAGCCCCAGACCCGGGCTTCTCTTTTCTTAATTTGAACTTTTCTGGGAGCAAAATTTTCCTTCTCCTCTAATACACTCTCCAAGACAGCCAGAAAGGAGATGGCACCCTCTCTCAGCTCACATACCTGGACCCAAACAGAAAAATTAACCTGCCACTGCGTTCAATACTGGCTCGGAAAAGCCGCCGGCATTGCTGGGCTCCCTGCGTCCCCGCCCGGCACCCACACCCCAGCCCCTCCCAGTGTTTTATTTTACCCGGTGTTTCTGTCATCATCGCTCCTAATCACTGAAGTAATTTCCTGGAACAAAATGGTCTATGTATGTAAGGAATTACACCAATTCATGTCCTAAAAAATATTTAATGATACAAAAAGGATGTAAGTGAAAAGAGCCGGACAGAAGAGCACACATACAGCAGGACACCAATGTTGTAAAAAATCCACACACAATTCAGAAAATGTCAGATGAGGCAGCAGCATGGCACCAACAGCGACTCTCCGTGCGGCGGACTGGATCACGTTCAAATGTGTGAACTGTTCATCCAAGTTCAAAAACACTAAACAGAGGTTTAGGAAAAACTCCCAGGAAGGGGGTCCTTCACAGGAGCTCTATCAGGACACGTGGCCGGAAGAACGGTTTTAAGGTGAACCTGCTGGATGGGGGCCAGGTAAGAGGTTCTGATTCCAACACTGAGCTTCTGCTTCGTTCCGGGGCGACGGTAAACAATCCGATCTTGGTCCCTGCCTTCCAGACGGGTGCACGCAGTCCCTGCTCGCCTGAGGGCCCGGCCTCCGCACTGCTCGGGCAGGGACCCCAGGGAAGAGCTTCCGTCCCATCTTAAAGGGGAACAGGCTCCAGTGAATGTCTCCCTCACAACCTCATGGAGCCCGTGGTCCAGCCAGGATTTGAACTCAGAGCTCTAACATCACAGCCTGCTGTCTGACCCGCGACACTGCCACATCCAAAGGTAATAAAGCCTCTACCAACCCATTTTTAAAAACTCAGGACTTGGCATAAAGGAGCCCTGGACCCACATCGCCCCGCCCCACACTGTCGGGTGGACAGCTGAGTGTCCGGCAGGTGATCCCACCTGTCAAAGGACCCAGTGGAGGAGGCAGGGCCTCCGCTCCACCTGGGGCCTCCCCACCCCTCTGTCCTCTCCCAGGAGCCACTTCCAGAGTCCGATCTCTCGGAAATCCTACTCCAAGGCACCTGGAGGGCGAGTCACTGTCCCTCCCCCTCTCTAATCTCGTTTCCGGGCTGGGGCCTGGGTGTACACTGACTCCTACCCTCAGGACTAACAGGGTCAGGAGGGAACACTGAGCTGTCTGTTTATAAAATAAAATGAACCCTAGAATAAGCAGGTACTACTTTGGAAATCACACACCGATGATTAAGAATAACTCAATGCAGACTCATTCCTACACACCCTGACCACAGCCGACTAGAAATAACAAGCCCACACCACCGACACTGGTAAGCAAATGGACATCCACAGCCGCCTGACCAGAGCCAGGGACCTAGAGGGTCCGGCCCTCTGACCATGGCTGACAACTCCCTCTAGTGGCCCCGTCTGCTTTCTTTACCGAGGGGCCTGAAGAAGGACCGCCTCCTTAAATGACAGCAAGAGGGGCAGCTGAAGGCAGGCCTGGAGCAAAGAAAAGGCAAATGCGACCTGCTGCTAGCGACCTAGTGACTGTCATCAAGATGCAGGGGCTGGGGAAGGAGGCAAGAAGTTGACGGTGGTGGATTGTCTCACAACTATTTGCCAAGTCAAAATAGAAAAATGTGTACATGGTAAACTTAAATATAAATAAGAGGCAATGAAGAAGTGAGACCTTAAGTGGTCTCCAGAATCCTAAAATTCACCCGGGAGGGACAAGGCTCCTGTGAGAATTTGCACGCCTGAGGGTCTCTGAGATGCTTAAAGACAATGATAATCAGCGATTTAAATGAATACAGATGGTAAAACCTGCGAATCGAATCCTGGGGACCTCCTTCAACATGATCTGCCAGGAAGCGGACGTTCACAGTCAGTCTGAAATGCTGCCTCAGTACAGTATCCGGCTCTCCTCAGCACAGAAATGGTGCCCCAGACGGCTCCTCTCTGCCCCCCAAAACCACCCACCTCGGGGTAAGGACCCATGAGCACCAGGGAGACGAAGACAGACTTCCACCTGGGAGGATGGCACCATCACCAGCTCCCGCACTCAGGAGGGGCGTTCAGCCCAGAGCTGTCCGCATGTTCAAGCTCAGGTCGAGCTGCCAAGGGCAGGAACGGGCCACTCAGAGCTCCCTGCCAGGCCTCTCCCAGACCTCTGCCCCGGCTGTCAGTCTCGGAGGAGAAGTCAATCAGGGCAAATCTCTAACAAGGCCCCGAGAGGGTTCCTGGATTTGAGAGCTTTTTTTCAGCATAAAACCAGTGGATTAAAGAGAGAAAGAGAAGGCTTCTCGAGTCCAAACCTCCATCTGTTAAGCCTTGATTACATTTAAAGATGAAACACGATCTTTTAATACTTGTCCCACAGGAATGGAAGAGAAGGTGGATAGGATCACGTGATCAGGGGATGGGACCGACCCACCAGCGGGTCCCCCACCCTGGCCGGCCACCACAAGTGGGCGAGGGCCGAGGTGTGTCCCCACATCCTGTTACGCTTGGACCCGGCTGGCCAGCCTGCCGTCCTCCCTGGTACATCTTTTGGGCCCTTGTCTCCCTATTTTTACCCAGGTTCCAACCAGATGCTTGAACTTTGTTCTGTTTCAATGGCGTCTCACCTTTTCCCTGCTGCTTTCTCACTGTAGGAAATGAAACATCGTGTATGAACCACACAGCAGAGCAGGGCGAAATGAGGTCACGGAGCTTTAAGAAGGGACTGAAGTGGACTATGACTTCCACGAGCTGTGGAGGAAACGCTGCTCGCCAGGGCGCAGCCGCAGCGCAGAGCCCATCAGTCCGCTGACGTCAGGCCGGAGACAAAGTCAGGCTTCCTCCCTCGTTAGAAACGTCAGTGTGCCTTTCGATAGAACCTAGCTTTTGGATGTTGTCTCTTTCTATATGTTTCCTCAGCTTCTCTTGCTCCAATTTTCCCCGTTGCTCCAGGAAGTTTAACATTATAATCTGTTGTGACGTAAGGAATCGTCCCCTCAAACCCATGCTGAAAGGAAACAGAAAACATGCAAACTCCCAATCCGCCCAGTCTTCCTCCCCCAGAAGACAGCGTGGAGTCTCAGTAAGCCCCGCCCCCTCCTGAGCTCCGCCCCTCCCGAGCTCCGCCCCCTCCTAAACTCTCTCCCCAAAGGCCAGGAAGCACTGGTGCCCCTGAAGGCCGGCCTCCCGTGTCTGTCTCTCTGTCTAGTCAACTCCACAAGCACATCCAACAGGAGTGGTAAGTGCGGGCGTTTCCATCTCCAACAAGCAGGTAAGAAGGGGGGTAACAGCAGGCCACCCACAGGCCCGGCAGTTGGGCTTGGGGGCCGCACAGATGCTCTTGGCCACCATGACCTTCCCAGGGCTGCACCTGAAGATGGCCTCAGCCTCAGGAAAGGGAACGGCTCCCCCACGGGCTCCCGTGGTGCTGGTGGCTCATGGCCTTGCCTCTCCCCTGGCTTCCTTCAGCCCCTACAACCAAGTGTCCGTCTCCCCAACAATAGCCTGCCCACGACTCTAGCCCAGTTTCAGGTTCTCTCTCTACCACGGACACAGCCAGCTCCCTCCCAGGTTGTCCCGGAGCCACACTCACCTGGCTCTTGAGGACACACTGTGGAATGGAAATGGCTCCGACCAGCAGACAATTCACATTTCTTAGCTCTTCCGGGGGCACAGGCGTGAGGATGTGGTAAAGCCGCTTCTCCATGTCGATCCCCCTACAGATCCCTGAAGACCCAGAGCACACGCACATCACCCTCCGCAAGGCGCCAGGCCTCCTACCACCCCACTGCAGAGCAGCTTCTAAGTTTCAACTTCAACTGGGTTTTGCTTTGAAATATGACATGGCGGGAGACGGAGTGTGGGAATGCCGGAAGCCATGGGAGCTTCTCCCTGCTCGGCTGGGAGGCACCGAGTGGTCTTCATGCCGAAGTCCTAGCCTGCACCTGCGCCAGTGCCAGCGCGCCCTGGGAAATCTAGTGGGGCAAAGGTGACTCAGCCTTTCCCTTCACCCAGTCCTGCTTTGTGGTCTGCACAAAGTGACACATCACTATGAAGATGCTTTAAGAAGTACAGTGTTGTATCGATCAGAAATGTGTAATTGCTAATGACTTTGCTAATTTTGGGTCAAACTTCCAGAAACATCCACTGACGTTTATTGACCTCGTGAGCCAAGAGACGAACACCTGCCGTGGGCTCCTGGAGGAGACGGGCCCAGAGCTGCGGGAGCTGCGAGGTCCAGCCAGACCTGGGCCTGTGCTATGGACGCGGCAGGATGTCAGGACGTGACCGCGTCGCTTGCGCTCAGGTCACTCCCGAGTGGGGGGTCCAGTGCAGGAGTGAGGATGCTCACACGGGCACGGAGGACATGACCTGGAGGAGCCTGACTCACTTCGGGAACAGAAGCTGCCTGACCTGCGCGAGGGTGGGATGTGAACGAGGCGAGGAGGACCCAGGGGTCGGGCCAAACACCAGCGTGAATCTTTGAAGGACCATTGAAGGTGGTATGGGGTGGGCAGGAGGGGGTCCGGGGAGAACATCAGGCGTGTGGACCCATCAGGACCTCAGTTTTGGACCCAAGTCC